TTTAGATCTGTAGCTCTGTCTGTACTGCACATGCCATCTGCCTTATGCTGCACGACATCAGCAGCCGAGCCACGAGGCGGCCTCGAAAAACAAGGCACCAAGGACCAATGTTGTGTTGAACTGATCGGTCCCTTAGTCATCTACATGATCAGGCTGATCTGTGTTTGCTCTCTCTCTCTTGTGTCAAAAAGATTGACTGGGGGACGCGCTAATCGTTTTTGATGACATCTCAGAATATTCTGTGATTGATTGACATGTGGACTGACAAGTACCCTCCGATTGGGCGCCAGCCTGCCGTATCTCTCATCCCAACGCGACCTTTTCCCTACAGTGAGGAAAGGACACGTGTATGTGACTCGAAGTGGGACGTACGAGAAGCCGTCGCACAAATCGGCGGACACTATTACTTCCCTCCGGTCGATCGTTGTTCAGGGTTCGTAGACGCCGGATTTGTCATTATCGATACGTACTTTTCACCGTACTCGATATTGTTGCCGTTTAACGAGCTGATCGTCATTCCGTGGACGGCAGTGGCGCCCCATTGGCCCCGCACTCTGTGCACGGAGTGCCAACGTTTCAATCGCTACGAAGCGAAGGGCTTCCACTACCGAATACGGAGTGAGGACGAGCATAAGGAAAGAGCCACTCGGCTGAGACCATCCACGTCGGACTCGGAACTGACCAGCGAATGACGACGAGATCTGATACGAAAACGAGACACGCGAAGCGTGCCAAAGCCTTTCCGTTCTAAACGACGGGCCGTAGCCCGGTGGGAAGCCTGACAGTACTTTTTGGATTGAATTTGGATCTTTCTGTTTTCGCGTCATGACCGCGCGCGCATTTCGCGACGCGCGAAATTAATCCACTTGCTACATCGGACCTACACAGGGGATTTCAATTCCATCTGTGTCCCCACACTTAATTTCCAAAAATCCTTGGCACACCCCATCTTGCTGTTTTTCTGGGCCTCTTTCTGCCTGCCTAACACTCCGAACGGAAGACAGCACAGGGCGTGAGGTTGGTATCGGAGCCGACACGTGTCGGTTCTGATGATAGTAAGTCGAACTGGCGAGAGGTAGGAGAGACCCTCAACTAACTCGTCGGGATCGCCCAGTAACCCGGTCTCAGTCTAGTGCGGCTGCACCAGCAATACCAATGGTGGACGGTACTAGGGTGATCGTTAGCATCCCTGCCCCCTTCCCCTCCTTTCCTAACCATACTCATCCCGAGGCTTGGTTGGAAGTTGTCGAAGCTCAGAACTACGGCGCAACCGATCTCCCCCGTGTTCTGACATTGCTACTCCACAACACGTCACATGACTGGTTTAGGAAACATACATGGGTAGATTGGGCTACTTTCAAGACAGCCTTTTTGGCTCGATTCGATACAGTCAGTGAAGATGCCGCCTGGTACGTGCTCAAAAATCGACCCCAAGGACCAGGGGAGTTGTTGCCCGATTTCGTCGATCGGTTTCAAACCACGTTGGACAAATCCGGGCAGAATGAGAAATCCGCTCGAGATTTGTTCATCGATCACCTACGAAATCCGACACTGAAAGGGAAATTGCAGAAAAAGGTTCCACCGAAAACACACCAGTTATCGGCTATCATCACTAAAGCTTTGGAACTAGACTTTGTTGATACAAAAAAATATATCAGCTAGGGAGACGAGGACATTACAGATACCATACGGGATGTAACGGCCAAAAGGCGATCATGGCTACAGGCGGTCGAACGGTTTTATCCCCGCCCCGACCATGACCTTCCCGGCAGGATCGTTTCTGATATCCCGACTGCTTCTCCTCCCTCTCTGCCGGTGAATCAATCGATCGCAGCCGTTAGAAGCGGGACTTCATCTGACCCCCCCTCGCCGGCCGTAACCAATCTACACCTTGCCCACATGATCCACACGGCTACTACTAAGCAGTCCGAATGGATGGGCAACCTGATCGAAATGCACGCCGCTCATATGGAACGAATGGAACAAATAATGAGCAAGCTCATTAAGCCTAATCCAGCTCCTGCTCAGCCTGCCCCTGCATCATTTCCGCTCTCACCTGCTCCGCCTGCTCTAGGATTCGCCCCTCAGTATCCCCATCTAGCTAATCCGGCAGGAAAGATCGAGTGTTTCAACTGCAAACAGCCCGGGCATTTTGCCCGAGACTGTCTGCAGCCGAAACGTAATCAGCCTCCCCCCGTTGCGGCCCCTGTCGCCCTTAATCAAGGACGAGTGGCCGCTTTGATGGACACGGACCAGGGAGGAGAGCTCGTATCGTATGCTCCAGAACAGTCTTCCTTTTCGGCGATAATAGCGTCGACCTCAGGAGCTTCTTCCTCTGACGCTGCTGACGTGGTCCATCCCCTCGAGTATCTCCGTCTTGCCGGAATGATCGGAGCGATCCGATCGGCCCAAGATGATCTCGAGTGGGACGATCGCGAGTCCAATCCTAGACCACAGTTTCGGATAGGAGATATTGATGTATTGAAAACTCTCAAGCAATTAGATATTCGTGTACCTATCCCAATAGGACATCTGCTCACCATATCTGAAGCAGCGAACAATAAACTTCTACAACATTGCGAGAAAAATCGAAAGCGCTTCACCTATCAGCGCATACAACGGATGTAGAAGAAGAAGGAAGGAAACGGGGAGATTGCACCTCCCGAACCTGATACGAAAGAACCCGAAGCCGCACGAATAGCAGCGATCTCTTTAGCAGAAAAGGATCACTTCGTACGAGCTCGGCCAGTAGTATGGAAAAGTGCGGAATGTGACTGTGAAGTTTGGGGTAAACCGTTTAATGCCCTAATCAACACCGGGTCTTCTGCAGTGGCCATATCACTGGAGACTGTTAAAAGACGGGACGACTTGGATCCATTCTTCCTCAATCTGGCAAAGACAACTATGTCTCTGCTGATGAGGAAGCAATGAACATTGTAGACATTATCGAGAACGTGGCGGTAAAGGTCGGGCGAGTACACGTCCTTGTTAACGCACTCATAATAGATGTACGTTCCTACTCTGTGTTGTTGGGATTACCTTGGGCAATGGCGGTGGGCGCACGTCTGCATTTCAATTCGAGACAACTGGTACTCACACAAACTGGGGAAAAACCTCAAACTGTTCCTTTGCGAGTTTCCACCCGAACGATAAAACGGATCCCTAGCCCGACCCAAATAGGGATGATTCGATGCATTGATCTTGAGGAGTGTTCCCCCTCACGCCTCGGGGATGGAATCAGGGAACGAGAATACGAAGAAGAGATGCCCAGTAAAGAGGAATGGAAGCATCTGGTTGAACTTTTCGAACATGAAACCCTCGAAGAATTTCGAGTGTGCCCCGACACCGCTCGAAGCTTCCACATGGATTCTGAAGACAGTGCATTCATGCCTTTAACAACCCAGGTCAGTCCTTCAGTCCTCCTCGCGGAACCCATATTACAAGTTTCCGATCCGGCTGATGATTTGGAACCCCCTCGCACCTTGTACGAGGGAAATCTTTCGTTACGAACGCGTTATCAGCAAACGGAACAGCATTTGGACGTTTCTGTTTTTTCACCCCGATCGTTACTAACGATAGGAGCCACCATCGCCTTCATTAAACAAGAAGCGGAAGCACCGGTAAATGATGTACCTAATCTGATGCAAGAAGTGACAGATCTAACAGGGCTAACTGTGGAACCGACTTCGGTTGGTTCAGAGACTGACATTGAAACTAAAGAAACGGAGATGATTAGCCCCGCTGAGTCCCAGATGATAGCAACTGTCTTTTCTGTTAGCACCAGTAGTTTCGTTTTCTCTAGTGTCCCTGAGCGGCAGGAACGGCCGGTTGATTGGATCGATATGCCCCTTAATATGTCCGAGGAATCGACGATCCCCCTCCCAAGTCACGTTCCCGCGGAACTTCAAAAGTCGTTAATCTGTGTATTGAATGGTTACGCATAAGTGTTGAGCATGCATGACAATGATATTGGGTTAACTAATGTAATTGAACATGCCATTCTCACGGGAGATCATCCACCCATTAGTTGCGCTCCCTATCGATACTCGACAGCTCAACGATCGGCTGCCTTTCAACGGATTAAGGAGGTCGAAGCTAATGGATGGATCGAACCCGCTATAGGACCATGGTCTTTTCCTGTAGTGATAGTACCCAAAAAGGCTGGGGGGATTCGCATTTGCATTGAGTATCGAAAGCTGAATGATATCACGATTAAAGACGTGTATCCCCTCCCCCGGATTGATGAGTTATTGGATGCGATTGGGAGTGTTCGATTTTTCAGCAAGTTTGATGTTCGTCATGGGTTCCATCATCTTCTTGTCCGAAAAGAAGATCGTCCGAAAATCGTGTTTGTGCTTTTCAAAGGTACGTGGCAATGGATTCGATGCCCGATGGGTATCTGCAACGTCCCTGCGACTTTTCAGCGGGCCATGAACATGGTTTTTCATAATTTTGTGTGGAAGACTCGCCTGGCACAGAGCATCATCAACTACTGCGTGATTGTGTACATGGATGACATCCTAGTGTATTCGAGTTCCTACGAGGGACACGTGCAGCACATCGAATGGGCACTGCATGCGTTACGAGATGCAGGTTTCAAGGTGGCRCTTGAGAAGTGTCAGTTTTTCCTCACCACCATTTCTTTCCTGGGGCACGTGGTGACAGACAAGGGACTCCAACCGGGGCCGCAGAAGGTGGCAGCTGTCAGGGACACGCCAGTGCCTACCACTATCACGCAAATTCGCGCCTTTCTGGGCCTAGCCTCGTATTACCGAAGATTTATCAAGGGCTTCGCGGCGATTGGGGGACCCCTCACAAATTTCCTGCGCAAGGATCAGCCGTTGATCTGGACACCGGAGTGCGATCAAGCGTTTTCTAAACTCAAGGCTGCTCTCATTTCGGCTCCGATCCTTATAAGACCGGATCCCGAAAAGCCTTTTGTTCTCATCACCGACTGGCAGCCAGAGGCGATTTCGGCGACCCTTGCCCAGGTAGGACCGAGCGGACTCGAGGGTGTAGTGGAGTATGTGTCCAAATCAGTGCCCGCCTGCAAGCGCAATTATGCTGCGCCAATGGGTGAATGCTATGCGGCTCTCTGGGAAATCAGTCACTTCCGTGCATACCTGTACGGGCGAAAATTCACCCTGACTGATTATGAGCCCCTGTTGGCTCTGAAGAAGTCGAAGGATTACTCGGCCATGATCGGGCGATGGGCAACGGTGCTGCAGAGCATGGACTTCGACATTCGTCATCGAAAGCACGAGAGACACGGGAATGCGGACGGACTGACACGACTGCACCGGCCTGAGAAGGTTCCAAAGGGTGAGGAGGTAATTCCGTGGAACAAACCCGAACAGGAGATCGGACCTCGGTACGGCCAAGTGGAGATCTTATCGAAGCAGTAAGTAACATGAGGACTAATTGTTCTGTTCTGCTCTCCCTGTGTCCCCTCCTCCTCTAGCACCATGACTACCCCACTTGCCTCCACAACCCCTTCTTCTCCTACTGATTCTGCCCCTCTTACTTCCTCAGCTTTCTTCGACACCCTCCCCGATAAATTATGCTATTTTGGTACTTGTATTGCACGTGTTTACGGGGTCGACTGTCATCCCTTCGAGGTCGGATTTGTCGATTGGGTGGAATGTGCCAAGTGTGTCAATCGTGCGCACGGAGCCTGCGTTCGATATCGAACAAGTAGCAAGGAATGGAGGTGTCCCCTGTGTAGAACGAACAAACTCCCCACGGAGGTTCGATTCGAGGCCGCCCGTACGGACAGTCCTGAATACGACAAAAAATATCGACGAGCGGAAGTCTGGACGGATAAAATTTTATTGGCAAAATTAGCGGGATTATCATTGGGCCACCTCACCAAACACGACAGACGTAGGGCGACCGAGAGATCTCGGGACTATCGATGGATCAACGGTCATTTGGAAATGCGTAAAACAAACAGATCGGGTTCGTGGCTGACAGTTCCCCATCCCTTCCAGAGATACGATTGGATCTGATCTGCTCACGAGGAACACGCCGTTCATTTCGCGATATGTGTCACGGAGGCAACTGTAGACCAGAATCGATGGTTCTGGTCCAATATACGAGATAATGTCAAATACATTGTCGCTAACTGTCTGGTCTATGCCGCCGATCGCGCCCCTATACGGGGACCAAACACGATTGTGCCAACGGAAGTAGAGCGTTCTTTCTAGCGAGTCGGTATGGACACGACAGATATTGACGTACCACCTGGCCCAAACCGCTGTGAATATTCCATCCTGTTAGTTTTAATTGACCATTTTTCCAAATACATCGAAGTCTATCCTTGTAAGACCCGAAAGGCCGCCGAAATAGCCACATACATCGAACGATTCGATACGGAAGAAATTCTAACTCACAATGGGTCGGAATTCAAAGGTGAGGTAAAGAAACTGCTTGCGCGAAGGGGCGTCACGCTCCGACATACGGCACCCCACCGAGAATGCCAACCGTATGATTAAAACCGCCCTTCGCAGGAACTTAGCGGCACACGACACGCGTCCTTGGCCCGAGATCGTATATCAGAACGTTGGGATTCACCGGGCCACCCCTCATAAGTCTACGGGGTTTACCCCCTTTCAGCTTCAAACTAATAGCCTCCCCTGTGTCGATTACCGGGGTAACTCGGAAATTGCTGAAGTAGGGGGTAGAGACATGCGTGCGGCCCTCAAGGACAAGGCCAAAAGGTACACCAATTTGATGGAACGAGCCGTTCCGAAGCTAGCCCGAAAAAGACAAAGGATGACCGAGCTGGCCCACGGTAGACAGGTCCGTAGCTACGAGGCTCGGAACGGAAATATTGGGCCTCAGTACCAGTATAAAGTGGGGGACCTAATGCAGGTACGTAAATGTGCACACGATCCGAAACTCGCTCCCAAGTTCTCTGGCTGTTTTCGCGTTGTCGAACTCGAGCCCAACGGCGCTAACACGGTGCGCATTGCGCCTGAGGCTAGCGCTAGCCATAGCTCCGTCCCCATCGTCAAACATACCTCCTACCTCCGTCTCCTTCCTCCTTCTGATTGTCCTCCCTCTTCTTCCTCGGAAAGCAAGGAAAACGACGACGATCTAACCCTCTCTCCTCTTTCTCCCTCTTGTCCCTCATCCTCCTCTCCGACCTCGCCATGAGTTTCATCACGGAGCAGGTTTTCGACGCACAGCTGCAACAGCCACGTGGCCACATCTCAGAGATCCGACAAGTTTGTCACCCTCGGCTCAATATGGATCTCCGCCGTTTGATGCGATTCTTTTGCGACGAACGTATCTGTGCCGCCGCCGCGTTTTGGATAGAAGGAAGCCCTCGTGCGATAGTGTTCGCGGAGGTTACAGCAGATCATCGGCGAGTGGGTCCCAGAACGAGCCACGTCACCACAATGGCGGGATTCACCGGCGACATCAGCTCGGTCAATCCGCTGCGGCATACCGCGATCTTGGCCTCGCTGTGCGAGTGGACGGAGCAAGTGTCCAACGTGTGGCAGCACGTCCTCGCCCGGGAGGAGTATAACATCATCCCGATCTTTGCAGCAGACCTTGACGGCATTCGCTGATCACCGCGCGAGCGGCCAGTTGCGATCCCGACCATCGTCCCCTTCCCCCATCCCCAATGAACCACGCTGCTCTTCTCGCTCCTCTCTCCATCTTTGGTATCCCCTCTCTCTTCCCCACCTTCTGGCAATCCGATCTTCACCCTTCTCTTTCCTTCTCGTTCGAGCCTCTTTCAGTCCCTCTTATCATTCCTGGACATTGGCGATTGTGGCGCGAAACTTTTGGGGAGCTGTCCTTTTTCTTGGCCACAGTACAGGTGACGTGGACGGGCACTAGCGAGCATCCCACGTGGATTGAGAATCCGGAGCTGTTGATCATACAGGGTTGGAGGACTAACACGGAAGGTGATCTTATTGGATTCCTCTTTGGATCGGTGCGACCGGGTCGTCGTCAGTTGATTGCACAGGAGCTCATCGCACCGATCGTGCAATTAGGGAACGATCTCTCGCCCGACATCTACTTTCAGAGTGACAACAGTCCTACTCCGTACATTTTCAAGCGATCCTTGGATCCGTACCTTCAGTGGACTTCGTGCTTGGAGGAACCTAGGGACGAGGATACACTACCATCGCGGCAGGAGTATCTGAAGCCGTACGAGATCATCCCTTACGCCTTCTACCCGAGGGCAGAAGAAGTGGTGATCGACGACGATGACGACGAAGAAGAAGACGACGACGAGGAAACATCGGAGGAGGGAAGCTATAGTGAACATAGCGAGGGCGAGCTGAGTGAGGAGAGAGAGGAAGAAGAAGGAATCGGGTCCGAGTGGGAAGTTCCGCCGGAGGAAGCGGAAGATCCGGAAGCGGTGTGGAAGCGCGAAGAAATTGCCGCCGGGAAGCGCCAGCTGGCCTTCGCTAGCGAGGCTAGCATGCGCATCGGTAGCGATCCAACCAGGGATCCGGAGCCACCGAGGCCCGAAGATGGCGACCCTGCAGCCGCCACCTCAAGTACCCCGTGACGGAGACGGCGTCAATCCCCCTCCTCCTCCAGCCCCGCCCGTCCCCCAGTTCGCCCACGTACCAATGCGGGCGATATGCCTTCGGCCTCGGACGCTGCCCCGCCGACCCCTTGATTTTCTCACCCTCGAGCAGATCTGTACCCCCGTCACCTTCCCTTCCCATCCTTTCCATCCCCATCTCTTCCGCGACTTCTATTCTACCCGTCTACTCGCCACCGTCCACCCCCAAGCCTCCCTTCAATCCGCTGCCCCCACGTTCTGCTGGCACCTCCTGCTGTTCAGCGCTGCATGGGAGCGATCCAACGTCGTAGAAGTCTACTGCGTTGCCACGGGGACAATCCCCGCCTGTCGCCGCTTCGAGATCTTTCGAGCGGCGATTTTCCACACCCTCTCCTCTTTCTATCGCGATTACCTCACTTCCCTCCCCCGCAGTGGCGATCATTTCCCCCGCTTCCACCGGATCATCCGATATGAGGAGCTTCCGGCGACGATGGAAGGGATGAATCGCTTCCTACCCCCACTCCCCCCCCGTCATCCCCGCGAGATCCCCGGCATGTACCGCCTCTACTGGCCTATTTCAACTAGGCGATAGATCCCATTCACTTGAACCCACCCCCTTTTTTTCTCCCCTCCCTTCATCGGCACGAATCGGTAAGCTTCGCGAAGATCACGCCATCAACGATGACGTCAACCTACACGCTGATTCGACAGACGGCAACGAGCAAGGGTGCAGAGCACACGGAGATCAGGTGGACCATGATGGCGTCACCTGGACGATCTCCACGAGGCAGACGGTTGCATACGACAGGGCTACAGAGATTTTGCCACGGATGTTGTCGCCATCTCATCCGCGGCCCAGTTATCGTTCCTTGTACTTCTTTCTGCTCTGTTGATACGCTTGGTTCCTCGTGCATCACTCTGTTCTCCCCTCTTCTTTTTCGCCATGACATGCAATCAGGAGATCGCATAATTTTGGAACCCCCTCCGCGTCACATATGTGACGAACCACTTCCCGACCCCGTTCCATCTTTCGTACCCTTTCTTTTGCTTGTATCATACCAACCCCAGGAAGACCCCATTTTGAGTTCTTGCTTTCGGGTGCTGCATTTTCTTTTTTGAGAGTTTTTTTTTTACTGCTGATTTCCGTTTTTCTTCTTGCAAAGTCGAAAAATACATGGGAATTTACGTGCACCTTAGCGAGCGCACTGGGAATTGGGCACGGTAGTTGGAAATTCCGGGATAAGCGGAACTTCGACGTGTCCTTTTTGGGTGTGTGAATGTTGTTGGGCGCGTCGGGGAAAACTCTCGGAATTTTGCGTGAATACGAATAGGCGTACGATTTTCTTTTCCCGCGGCGCTTTTTCGCGCGCGGATATGGTGATTTCAATTTTGAATTAGGATAGAAGCAAGCTGTAACTGTTTCGGTGCCTTTTTCTTTTTTTCTTAACAGCACCATGCATGCAAAAACTTCCTCCTCTCTGTCCCCCGCATCGCTCCCTCCCGCGCTTCCCTTCCCTTCTCCCTCCTTTTTCTCTTTCCCCGTAATTGTTTTTCCTTCTCCCTCTCTCTCTCTCCCGCCTTGCTTTCGCGCGCCCATTTCCCTTTCTTGATCATCTGAATCTTGGACCCGTCTTGCGCCACCTATCGCGCTTTTTCCCTTCTCACCCTCTACGTCTGGCGTACGACGCCTGGTCGATCCCCCGATAACTCCCGCTCGCCAATCAGATGCGTGGATCGATAGGGCCTTCCTATCGCGCGACGAATCTGATTGGTTGAACCTTGAGTTCCGAGGGATCAGCCTGGCGTTCGAAGAGCACTCTCCTCAAAGTCTTCTCCTCCTGCTTCTCCTCTTACACCTCAGCTTTCCCGTCGCTCTCTCCCCCTTCTATCTCCTTTCTCGCAACTATAAAACCCGCAAGCGCGCACGCAAATCTCTCTTACGTTCTCGACTCTCAAGCCAGCTTCCGGGAAGCAGTGGCTAGGCAGAGTGTTTGAAGCGAGTCGGAAAGTCCTGTCGGGCTAACGAAAGGCTGGCCGGTTGCGCGCTGGATCGCCACGACGAACTGTGGGATCTAGGTGAACCGTATCGAGTTTACGACAGCGGGGTAACAATCGCAGTGGTGGGAGTTAGCACGCGACGGCCGGGATCGTCGGTGCGGGTATGAGGCTCGATGATTAGAGTTGAGTGAGTGATTGGCCCGGGGTCATAGTGGAATTAATGGCGAATGCGCCTTTGTTGCGGATTGTTATCGTTGGCATGAGTGTGAGGCGGCGACGACGAACTTTTCTCTTTTCGGACCTTGTCATCTTCTATTTTGACTCACTTTCCCTCGACTCTTTCTCTCTCTCTCTCCTCTTGAATTATGGTGCGTCTGAATGATTGTCCCGCTCTTGAATGGGAATGAGTCGGCACTCTGTGTGAAAGAACTTCTTCCGGAACTCTTCCATTAGTTTCTTGGGTAATACTCCTACGCAAGAACCCTGTCTTCTTGTCTTGTGAATGGTGGATGCGTGTGTACTGAGTAATGCGATCCATCTTTTTTTGTGCATGTCTCATTTTCGAGCCTTCCACAGTGAGTGCATGTATGAAATGTGTAACTCTTTTGTTGATTAGACAATTGTCGTCGGGATTTTGTTCGAGAATGCAAGAGTGTTTTGATCTGTAGCTTTGTTTGTACTGTACATGTCATCTGCCTTATGCTGCACGACATTAGCAGCCGAGCCACGAGGCGGCCTCGAAAAACAAGGCGCCAAGGACCAACGTTGTGTTGAACTGATCGGTCCCTTAGTCATCTACATGATCAGGCTGATCTGTGTTTGCTCTCTCTGTCTTGCGTCAAAAAGATTGATTGAGGCTGATTCTGTGATTGATTGACATGTGGACTGACAAGTACCCTCCGATTGGGCGTCAGCCTCCCGTATCTCTCATCCCAACGCGACCTTTTCCCTACAGTGAGGAAAGGACACGTGTATGTGACTCGGAGTGGGACGTACGAGAAGCCGTCGCACAAATCGGCGGACACTATTACTTCCCTCCGGGCGATCGTTGTTCAGGGTTTGTAGATGCCGGATTTGTCATTAACGATACGCACTTTTCACCGTAGTCGATATTGTTGCCGTTTAACGAGCTGATCGCCATTCTGTGGACGGCAGTGGCGCCCCATTGGCCCCGCACTCTGTGCACGGAGTGCCAACGTTTCGATCGCTACGAAGCGAATGGCTTCCACTACCGAATACGGAGTGAGGACGAGCATAAGGAAAGAGCCACTCGGCTGAGACCATCCACGTCGGACTCGGAACTGACCAGCGAATGACGACGAGATCTGATACGAAAACGAGACGCGCGAAGCGTGCTAAAGCCTTTCCGTTCTAAACGACGGGCCGTAGCCCGGTGGGAAGCCTGACAGTACTTTTTGGATTGAATTTGGATCTTTCTGGTTTCGCGCCATGACCGCGCGCATTACGCGATGCCCGAAATTAATCAACTTGCTACATCGGACCTACACAGGGGATTTCAGTTCCATCTGTGTCCCCACACTCAATTTCCAAAAATCCTTGGCACACCCCATCTTGCTGTTTTTCTGGGGGTCTTTCTGCCTGCCTAACACTCCGAACGGAAGAGAGCACAGGGCGTGAGGTTGCGCGTCACAGGTATAGCTGGCGCACTTGGCCGGAGCGGCTTGCGGAAGCTCCATGTATATTTGCAACAAGGATTAAGACCAACTCCTGCGTGACGCGGAAGAGTCCCGCGCTGCCTTCTGCGGTGCCGGACCGATGCGCTCGACAACGCAGGTTTATCGAGGCGCTTTTCAAAGATCACATTGTTGTCGACGCCGTCCTCCGTACGTAAGCACAGACTATCGACAAACGTACAAATCAAGAGACATAATCTTTTTAATCCTAATCTAATCAGAAATAAAAATCTGGCCGGCGATCATGCCGGCTCTTCGATCATCAACAAGAAGAGAGATCACGCGCGCCTTAAGTCTGCGCCCCCACACACTCTCTACTCTGGTAAACCATCCAGTCAACGTAAGTCACGGACGCAGCCGCGTGCGAAATACTTGGACTTAAACCAAACTTATTTTTTGTCCCTTGCAAAAGCCAGGGCGGATACCCTTGTAAGGGTATTCGCACCGACTGCGCGCGCTTCGACCCATTGCTTTGGCTACCTTAGGGCTGCGTTCCCCGCGTAGACAATACAGAGAAGATTAGCATGGCCCCTGCGCAAGGATGAAAGGGTCCCGTGGTAGTGTAGGAAACTGCAGAAATGTGGTAGACGCCTTAGTACTACGAAGGAGGGAGTGGTAGGCCCGCCCCCCGCGAAAGAATGTATGATAGAGGTTCTCGAATGGGCCGATTACTTAGAACCCAGGAGTAGCCCTCTAAGGGCTTCGCCTCACCACTCTCGAAATGTGAAAAAGACAAAAATGTGGCCGGTGCACCTGGCCATGTTCTAGCAGGCAGTTCATTCCCATTTTGCAAATTTCGAGAGTGGTGTGGCGATGCCCCAAGTTTCATCACCACTGTAGCGCTTTTGCTTGCTTGCCACCCTTAGGCAATCAACTGCCAGACGGAAGATTGCATCATCTGCGCTGTACGGATGGCAACTCGGGCTGCCGGTAACGACTGACGTTGTCGGCATGTAGTAGTGCGCGCAGGTGCATCTCTCTCTCTCTCTCTCTCTCTCTCTCTCTCTCTTCATCTAGTATATACGTCAATATTCACTTGGGTGAAGTGTATGCGTGTAGTGCTCGAACAAAACAAAGAGGTAGCATGAAGCAGCGCCCTTCATCATCTTTGCCGCTATTATTCTCTCTCTCTCTCTCTCTCTCTCTCTCTCTCTCTCTCTCTCCATCTAGTACATTCGTGAATATTCACTTCTCTATTGTAGTGATCGAACACAACAAACAGCTAGTGTGAAGCAGCGCCCTTCATCACCACGGACGCTATTACTAACAATAGTGAAAAAATTGAATGCCTACGGCGAGGACGCGTGAAGGAAGGCAGTGGGGTTTATATTATGTGTGCATTTGGTGTGCGACACATGTGCACGTAGTGAATGCTCTAACAAAACAAACAGGCAGGAC